CCACTAAAATGTCGAGAAACGACGGGAGATGACTCTACTTGTTCGAATGTGCAAAGGAATGAGAAATGTTGTGTGCAACTTACCAAGTACTGGAGGTGTAATTGGTTCAACAAGTACATCAAGTACTTCAATTCCCATCATCACATAATCAGCCAAATGTTGACCACTGATCGAAGCGTAAACAATTGCACCTGTGTTTTTGTCAGCGTAACTCACGCTGTATTTTTGCTTTTGTCCAATAGAGAGCACATCTCGAACTGCCATATCTATTTCGGCAGCCGATTCTGAGTCTCTGAACTCAAATAGTGCTATAGGACCATTATTTTTTTTCAATTGTATTCGGTGCAAGTGTTTTGATACCATAACAAATTCCGAAGTCATAATAAGATCTGAAGAGCAAAAAAAAGAGGTGATAAATACGCAAAATCTCACGGTGGTGCTGTTATGAGCGTTTAACTCAATCTTTTACATTCTGCTCTGTTAGACAATCGAGATGCAATATTCAATGAGAACGATTGACAAACATCGAGCGAAGACATGACACAGACAGTAATCCTATATCAGCTGTTTTTTCCGTTCTCTCTTTCTCTTTATAACCAATAATAGGACGAACCAATAAAGACAGAAAATCGTCTTTCAGATAAGTGATGTCCTCTCTCGATGATCTCATTGCAGAAATTAAATGGTGCCACACTAACGCTACAAAAACGTTCACATTCAGAATGACGAGGTAATCATATTAGAGTGGGATCAAATCTAACGAAATTCGTACGCGGAGATGAGCGGTCGAAGAGTATCTAATGAAAGAGGTTGATCATATGGATGTTCAGTAAGAGAAGGTTTTGCTGCATTGTACTTAGGGTTATCCAAAAGTAGTGACGGAGGTACGTTTTTTTCTTATAGATGGCTTGAAAAAAATGTCTTTTTTTTTATAAACAGATAGGGCGTCTTTCACTCTATTTTTCTATGCTGTTTGATCAATCTTCAACTAATATTGTAATAATAAAATTTCGATAAGAACTGTTTTTTGTTGAAAACTAGCTAGTAGCATTAGGTCATAAGAGAACCTATAATAAATAGCAGAACTTTGTATTTCATGTTTTAATCCTTAAATACATTTTATTAAAAAAAAAACAGAATATACCATAAGATGCAATGTACAAAGCTTTACAATTTACAAAGTAAAGCTTATCTTAAAGAGTGCTTTTTCTGTTCAACAAACAACAAAACGTCTGTGGGACTAATCTTCGACGCTACAAAGAAAAGGAATAATTCGTGCATCAAAAAATGATCTTTTCGTAGCATCGAAGGTTGGTCGCATAGAGGTTTTGTTGTTTGTTGAACAGAAAAAGCACACTATAAGATAAGCTTTACTTTGTAAATTATAAAACTTTTCACATTGTATCTTGTGGCATATTCTGTTTTTTTAATAAAACGTTTTTAAGGATTAAAACATGAAATACAAACTTCTGCCATTTATTATAGGTTCTGTTATGACCTAATGCTATCAGCTAGTTTTCAATAAAAAACAATTCTTATTGAAATTTTATTATTACGATATTAGTTGAAGATTGATCAAATAGCATAGAAAGATAGAACGAAAGACGCTCTATCTGTTTATAAAAAAAGAAAATTTTTTCAAGCTATCTATAAGGAAAAAAAAATATCTCCGCCACTACTTTTGGATAGCCCTAAGTATTTTCAAAGTCTTAAGACCCCTCAAAAATGTCGTTTTTCGCCAGAATCATCGAAATTGAGACAAATTCGTGCAGAAATAGCCCATCATCTGCTCTGTCATACGCGACAAAAATTTGTATTCGGCACCTCTTTTTTTCCAAAAATCGTGAAAGATTTTCGTTACCCCTATTCGAAAAACAAGCCATTTTTACAAAAAACCGGAAGTCATTTTTCGTTTTTCTCAGAACGTGGATTCAATGACGTAGTGCCAGCAGACGTCCACCATAGTAAAAGATGAAGTGAAATGTTTTTTTTTTATTTGAAAGGTTGTGTCTAGGGCTGGCCCTTTTTTTAAATAAGCCGTTTTATTTTCATATAAGAAAACACCTCTATAAAAACAGCGCCATCTTTTTATTGATTTTCGAGTCATTAAACTTGTCATCCTTTTTCTTCGCTTAAAAAGTAAGAGTTTAAGAAAAAGGGTCACGAGAGAGCTAGCCTTAGACACAAGCTTTCAAACAAAAACATTTAAATGTATAAAGTGAAGGCCCACAGAGAAATCTTGGCGCTACGATAGAGCTATTTTTGGCTCTTGTTTGGTGGATATCTCTGTCAAACGTCATGATATAGGCCTGGAAATTTTACCATAGCCATCGCTTACTAGCTCCAACATATTCTGAAAGTTTCATACAATTTGGATATTCCTAGGTTGAAATCGATTTTTGAAGGGTGACCTTAAATAACTTATATTTGATAATTGAACAATGAATTCAAATAATTCAAACATATTATAAATGATCGATGGTACCATAGAATGACGGTTTTTGTTTTCAAATATTCTTCAAATATTATACCTACGCTTGAGAGAAAAAAACGAAGCAATAAAAGTAGAGTTTGATATCATTTTGAAATAAGAAAAAATATCATGCTGTTTTTATTTACTATTGAGATATTTATTGAAAGATTCATAATCTAAATAAGCACGTGAATCAAGTTTATTAGTTAATTGAAGAAGAACAACTATAATATCACCTAACGAGGAAAGGTCTCCAATTGATCCATCGCTATTAAGTCGGACCTACGTACATCATGTATATCATAACGAGCTATGAATGCTGTGAAAAGAGTTTGGGCTGGTAGCTTGTTGCTGCTGAGATATTTCATTTTTATGGTATTTGTTAGCTCAACGCCGTGGTCCTCCTCAGGAACATCAGAAAAACTTATTTTCGAATTTCGACTTGAAACTTTGCAAAAGACGGCCCCTAATGAGAGTGGTTTATTGTGAAAGCTTCAACTTTTCCGAGTGCTCCTAATCTGAAATAAGAGCGTCAGAATCTGCCTCTGGAAGTGATGTGAAAAACATACTGTTACCATAGCCGTATCTTAGGATAGAAATAACAAAAAGATCTGAAACTTTCACAATAAACCATTCTGATTAAGGCGTTTCTGTGCGAATTTTCAAATCGAAATTCGAAAATAAGTTTTTCTGGTGTTCCTGAGGGGACCATGACATTAAGCTAGCAAATACCGTAAAAATGCAATATCTCAACAGCAACAAGCTATCAACCCAAACTCTTTTTACAGCATTTATAGCTCGTTATGACATATATGATGCACATAGTCTCGACTTAATAGCGATGGATCATTTGGAGACCTTCCCTCGTAAGTCAAAAACTTTACACGTAAAGAACATAGAAAGATAGATAGATCCATAGATAGATAAAAATCAGACACATTGGTCTAGATTGAAAATGTATAAAAGATCTCAACCATCATCGGAGATATTTTGACAGGATAAAAGAAAAACGGTCACTTCTGTTCACTGTTGCGTCCGAAATGATTTTTTCAAAAATTTAAATTTAACAGAAATCGTAAAAAGTTTAGGACGTCTATAAATCGGATCGACAGGTATATTAAAATAAATTTAAACATTATGTAAAATTTTGTTCGTACTCAAAATATGATCAACTTTAAATTTAATAAAGCTGTATTTCTGTCACAATGGTAATTGTATTCACATTGTCCGTCGAAAGAATAAAGATCGCTCAATCATTTTGCATTCTGCTCTTATTTGACTTTCTTCTTTCGTGCTTTCCCGTTCTTCGCTATTTCTGTTGCTTTCCTCACGTATTTCGGGCACTGAAGAGTCCAAAATTATTTTTTTCGAAAATTTAAACTCAACAGAAATCGCAAAAAATTAGGATGTTTATAAATCGAATCGATATTTATAAATTGGCTGGATTTATAAACCAATTCTAGATTTATAAATCAGTGCTACATTTATAAATGGATCAGGTGTTTGTAAACTCTTAATGTATTTATAAATTGACTTGATTTATAAATCGATCCTAAGTTTATAAATGAAGAATTTATTTATAAATAGGTCAGATTTATAAATACCTAAAATGTTTATAACTATTTTAAATTTTCGATCAAAAAATTTACGATTTATAAATCACTATTTATAAATCGGTTTATAAATCAGCTTATTTCGGACTCAACAGTAATATTGACATTTAATATCAGAAAATTTTTGTTGTAGTAAACAAAGAAATAGTAGTTAAGGCCTCCCCTCGAAAAAAGATCACTTTTCGTCAGAATCACCGAAATTAAGATAAATGCATAGGAAGATAGCTCGTAATTTGATCTTTTATAAACGACAAAAATTTTTACTCAGTACCCCGATTTTTCCGAAAATTTTTGAAGATTTCTGTGATCCCCCTATTCGAAAAATAAGTTGTTTTCAGAAAAAACAGAAAATCTTTTTCGTTTTTTCTCCGTTTATAGTTTCTTGAGCGCGCAAATCAAATTTTTCTGTCAATACTCATTCAATGTATTTATTTATTTTTTCATTTGAAACAGCGCATCACGGCGTAGTGTAGTACAGAGCGCTTTTCTTTTATTATATATACAGACACTTACATAACTCGACACCCATTTTTAGAGTTTTTTGAGTCATTGAACTTTCGATCCCTTTTTTCCCTAAAAAAGTAAGTATTTAAAAACACAAAGGGCTCTGTACTGTACTACATCCTGACATGCTCTTTCAAACAAAACAAAATTCGAATTCATCACACGGATCTGGACTGAGAAATTTGGTTTGCCAAATGAGCTATTTTTGACCCTTGTTTGGTCAGTATCTTACTTAAACCTCATGATAGGGGCTGAAAATTTTACCATTGCTTTTCAACAACAGCCTCAACATATCCTGAAAATTTCATGCTATTTGTACGTACCTGGGCTGAGATCAATTTTTGAGGGAGGGGAGGCCTCAAAAGGAATAAATTAAAAGAAGAGATTTATAATTTTAATTTGTTACTTCGTCATTTAGCTACGTGAGGTGAAGCATAAAGATGTTCTTCTGGAAATAAATCTCGTTGATGATTTAAAATTTCATTTTGAATTTTACCAGCTGACATATATAAATGAACACGTTTAACACGTTGTAATGCTGCTGATCGTTCAAATGTTTGTAAAATTATCTAATGATTTGTCATACTAATAAATAACAAATAAAAGAAAAAGAAAAAGAAAATTATTTTTTTCTCACTGAGCTTTAACAGCAAAATAAACAGCTGGGAAAATATTCGCATGCTATGTAGCTGATGTAACAATTTGATCAATAGATAATTCTGATGGATTAACTATTTGAAGAGTTGAATGTCGTGGAGCAAATTTGACAAGAACTCTCTACGTTATCATTTAATATACTCAGAAAAAAGTGAATGATTTATTTTTTACTTTGTATTTTCGAATGTCAATTTGATATGTTCAACATCGACTAATCCCGTTAGTTGTTGTTCAATTTGATTTCGATAAAGAATACCTTCATTCTATGGTGCATTTCGAATCTTAGAAAAAAACGAAAAAAACAAGAAATAGATTTAAATTGTTATTGTTTTTTTACCATAATAGTTCGAAGCGGATCTTTTGATGATAGTTCCCGATCGATTGCTTCAGATTCATTTGGTTGACGAATATAATAATTCGGAAAAAATGCTCTATCAATAATTAGCTAAATAAAGAAAAAGAAAAGATGCGTATATTTTATCTACTTATTTACTTTGAGATAAAGTAAATTTTGTTGTTCAATTTGAGGAATTTGTCTTCGTTACATTTGATCTGATTCAATATGGCATGGTACATATATATGAAGTTGACGTAAATGATTACGTAATTGATCAATAAGTAAATATACTTAACGTAAATGTTTTATATCAAGATTATGTAAATGTGTTCAACGATGTTCAACATCTGTTATTCGAAATAGTTGATTATTTTCATGATAAAGCCATGCCTATTGTAAAAAAAATAAACAAATTATAAGAAAAATATTTATTAGATATCTTACTTTATCAATATTTAAAAAACCATGACAATCACAAAAAGTATCTGCAGCAAAATAAAATGTGCTTCTAAAATAAATAAATAAGGACAAATTGTTGTTTTGATAAAATAAAATATTTATTTTTACTTCTTAACAGCTAATCGATCTTTGTAAGAAATTTGAAAAATACTTTTAGTTGATAAACGTGCTGCAGTAACAATTATTTCATATACTAAACCAAAAACATGTCCTAATGCAATTAAACCTGATAATTCTATATGAATAGGTAATAGTGCCAGAATATTTCCAAATGTTAAATCTGCATCAAATGGACGAATTTTATCTTGACCCATAAGAATAGTTAATGCACCAAGCTTAAATAAAATATATAGAAATTAATCATTTTATATTAATTGGAAAAAATGAAACTGACTTATTTTAATTTAAAAATTGCCATTTCAATATAATTGATATTTACTGATTCTGAAGCAAGAGCTAAAATAGCTTTTGGTTCACCAATATTAAGTTCTTTTTGCTTGAAGAACAACACGATCAAGTGATTCTTGTACAAGAGCTGCTTTTTAATAGGATGATAATGAATGGTATAAATGTAATTTTACAAGACGATAACATATTCCATGAGAACAATGACCAACTCGATCTTCAAATAAGACATTGAATCAAGAATAAATAATAAGACAAATAAAAAACCTCGTCGTTGATAAAAATTAGCTTTTGATAAGCAAACAAGTTGTAAACATGAATTATTCGTTTTTGGATCACAAAACATTTTTTTACTTAGACAAAAATTAATGACTAGAAAAACTTTTATAGAATCATTCGAAATCAATAGAAAATTCTTACTCTTACCATATCGAATATTTGGAACAGTGATTCAACTTTCATCAATATTCGTTGCCACAGTTATCTTTTAATATAAAAATAAATAAACATTTTTCTCTAATATCTTATTGCAAAATAGCAAACAGAAAAATAAAAAGTTGATAGCTCGACAAGAGACAGAAATAATAAACCTGCTCTTTGTTTCGTCTTATAAGATGTCATTGTTCAAATCAATTTATAGAAAATTCTAGTCTAATTCTATCAAATTGTCGATTTAGAAGTATTAATTAGATTAAATCATCGGATTCTTCTTCAAAGATGCGTTTATCCAAAAAAAGACTATCAATACCATACAGAGAAAGAATTGACTGGAAAAGTCCGAAAGGAAAAACATGGAAAGGAAAAATGTTGAGAGAAAAAGACTGAAGAGTAAAACATTGAAAGACAATATAGTGAAATGTCTGAGAAAAATGGATTACCAAAAAATGAATGTATTAAGCAACCTTCTTTGGTTTGATTGACTTCTATACCTATGTTCACTCAGCTTCAGGAGCATCCTGAGCGGAAATCGACCGTCAGGAGAATGACCTCTTCCCAAATCTTTCAAAACTTTGCTTTCCTCCGATGAATCTCAAGAATTTTCTTAAGTTCTGCCGATTTTACAGATTCGTATGGATAAATTCCTCCGTCCATCCATGTTGATTCCCTTGGAAGAACTCTATTCATTTTTATTAACGGATGTTCTATAAAGAATGAACCACTTTTCTAATCGACTTTGCGCCATCTTTTCCAAGTGTCAAAATACTCAAAATAAGCTCATTCGATAGAGAATTTAATTCTCGACAAAATGTGATATATCAAATCTTTCATAGCCTCATTTTCTTTTGAACAGTAGTCGAACTAAAAAACATTAGAAATACTAAAGCTGCGCCGTGATTTTTTCGTTTTCTTTTCATAGATTATAAGTAGTAACTAGGAGTAAATATACTCAATATTTCTACGTTGTGAAATAGAGAATTTGTGGCGTATCTATCTCACTCATTTCTCAATTTATCAGTGTCTTTTATAAGAGATCTACGCTCATAATTCGCACTCGCAGAAGTTTTTTTAGTTTTTTGAAACACAATGGATTTTTTCATTTTAAATTGGCGTAAAAATTATTTTTGTTGATGTACCAGAAGATGTAAAATTTGATTCTGAACAAGATAGTGAACGTAGAACTTCGAGGTTCATACGCTGTTTTCTGCTTTATAAGAAAAAAATTGACTAGCGTGAAAGATGGCTCCAAAAAATGCTCTTCTTTTCAAGTTTATCACCTTTTTACGTTCGACAATTTTTCTAGAAAACTTAAAGACATAATTCTAAAATGTATGTGAAAAAATGTAGAATCTCCCGAAGAATTTTCCGATGGCTTCAAACTTCTGATAGGAGTCGAATTCTAGACAGAGACGAATCTTTTTAGAATTTCGAGAAGATGCAGTTCTAAAATTCGACACCATTTGTATTTCGACTACTGTTCAAAAGGAAATGAAGCTATAAAAGATTTGATATATCACGTTTTGTAGAGAATTAAATTCTCTATTGAATGAGCTTATTTTAAAAATTTTGACAGTTGGAAAAGATGGTGAAAAGTCAATTAGAAAAGTGGCTCATTCTTCATGGGCCATCCGTTATATATAAAGGGTGTAACATAAATTCTGATCCTCTTTTCCAATAATTCATTGGAAAAGAGGATCAGAATTTATGTTACACCCTTTATTAGTAATTATTTTGCTGCAAATGACATTTCTATTATCGACGGAGATCATTATGTCAATATTTTCCTTTTCGTTTAATACCTATGACGTTGACATTTCATTTTCGATTTTTCTTTTCGGTGTTTTCAGTCATACCTATACAAATGGCTTTGGAATTTTTCTTTCTACAAATCTGAATTAAAATGAAACGTGCTCTGATCATCTTTGTTGAAAAATAACTTATATTCAACTCTTTTTGTTGCCTGCAGTTCTATTTGAACGAAAAACATTATAAGACAAGTCAGATGTTAAAAACCTGCAACTTCACAGTTTTTGAGCAAAATTCAAAAATGAAACGACAGAGATCCGCGAATTCAATTTTTTAAATCTGGAAAGACTAGACAATTTTCACTACTAACTGTTTTTCTCATGCTTCTACGTTCTTTTCTTTGCTATACTCTTTAGAAAACGATTTCTAAAATAAATACCAAATAGATGTGTTAGCTAAAAACTAGCTTTATCATTTATAAACTAATAAATAATTTTAATCTATACCTTTCGATAAGTAGTTTTAGCTGGTGTAAAAATATTGACTTGATCATCCATAGATAAATCCGAATGTAACGGAATAATATGATAATTAAATTTTTTACATTGATCATAATCATCTACATTAAATTTCGTTGAATAAGCTTTTTCACGTGGAAACCGAAGACTTTCATCAACCCTTTCAATTTCAAGTAAACTAGGAAGAAAAACAAGTACAGTAGTACGTTTAATTGGTAAATATCTTGTATGATCTCATCCAGGCATACTATCTTCATCATCTAAACAAAGAATTAATTTAAGAGTAAGATCAATTGTTTGACGAGAAAGACGAGATTTACCTAATTTTAAATCAAATAACTAAAGATGAAAAGAAGTGACAAATAGAAATATATTTTTTTTAAATAAATTTTCTTCGAACACCATAATTTTGAATATGTTCTAAATAGATACTTAGGTCTGACCAAAAGTTTTGAGAACATTAAATAAAAGTATAAAGATGCAGAGATTTTTTTAATTTAATTTTATCAAATATTGAGGATAGTTGCCATGATTATTTATATCAAGTTCAATCCTTTCTAACAATTTATTATAAATTTTTTTTGATCTCTTTTTTTAAAAAAAATTTAGCTATCTTGGTAACCACATGAGCTAATTATATTTCATTTGTTTTAAAAATTTAATGGAATTTTGTTCGAACATGTCAGTTGCATTCTAGCACTACTAATGATGTGATATCGATTTATTTTAGATAGATTAGTCATAAGTCATCTAATGCTAACTGGCTTATTGAAGATGAATTGTCAAAGACTATTGTTCATGGAGGTAGATGTGAAAGCAAGACTTTGTTTAGTATATTCATTAAATCAAATAGTCCTGAGTGTAGATAAAAGCAAGACTGTAGATCACAAGTATTATATTGGAATTTATCTGAACCATTTTGTTAATGAAATATAGAAACAAACGTAGACATCAGGTTCAAAATGTACAAAATTCCTTGACGATCATCGTTGACTTCATACTCATCCAATGTTATTAATTAGTTGACAGAAAAAGGCATCAATATAATGTCATATCCACCATATTCGCCAGACCTGATACTACATAATCTTTGGTCAAGTGATTTTATCGAACGAAGTTTGACTGATTAAATAAATGAAATATGATTAGCTCATGTGGTTTCCAAGGTAGCTAAAAATTTTTTAAAAAAAGAGATCAAAAAAAATTTATAACAAATTGTTAGAAAGGATTGAACTTGATATAAATAATCATGGCAACTATCCTCAACATTTGATAAAATAAAAATAAAAATATCTCTGCATCTTTATATTTTTAGTTAATGTTCTCAGAACTTTTGGTCAGACCTAAGTATATTGTACATAAAAAAGTCGATGACCAACATGATATTGATATGCTGGAAGAATTTCTCCATTAATAACTTGATGAAAATAATTTGCTAATTTATGTATTTCAATTGTTGATGACATTAAAATTATTTTAACATTTTGTGAATTTCATAACCATAATGTACGAATAAGAACTAAAAGAAAATCCATTGATTGATCACGTTCATGAATTCAACAAGAAATAACCATTTTTTTCTCTTTTTTTCGAACGTTGCAATTCGTTACGTATTTTGTGTAGAGCTTTCGTAACAACACAAATCAAGGCTATCGAAACGAATTTTACAGAGTAATCGTAACCGGTCTCTTAATATCTATCATTTCAGAACATCAACATCTCAATTGCAGAGGTTTCCTAATGAATTTTACAGGATTGTCGTATTATACTTTACTAAAGTATGAGTGACAATACAGGTCTGTCCTAACGGAAAATACAGAGATATGGCACTATAAAAGTAAAGTGTATGTAGAGTTGTAGTAAGAGAGCTCTTGTGACAAAAGATCACGGCTGTCGTAACCAAACAAATCAGGTTTTCCGCAAAAAGGATGTTGTATTAATTATTTTTTGGTGAACTAGGAGAAGCTGGTCAGATTAGATACTACTATTTCTTCTTTTTTGGTTCATATAGATAAATCTATATTTATTTTTGAAGAACACATAAATTAGTATTCATTTTCTTTTTTTTTTCTTGTCGCAGTGTATTATTCAATATATGTTTTATTGCCTGTGCACTAGGCAAAAACGATTATCTTCTACATTACTTGTTTTCTACGATTTCTTTGTTTATTAGAGAGAGAGAAACAAATAAATTCATCAATCTTCTGCTTCTCATTCTAATAGAAACTTATTTGTGTCTAAGGGTTAGACTTTAAAGAGAGATAACGAGAAATTTTAGAGAGAGAAATGCTAGTTGATAGAAAGACTTCTCTTCTAAAACAAAAAGCTTAAGAGCAGAAAGAAAAAAGGCATAGGATTTTCGCAACGATAAGCAACGAATTTATTCGAATGTAAATCAATTATAGAGAATAACTAATGGAAATATTGACCTCTTCTTTTCATCAGAATGTTCTTTCTGCATAAACTTAAAATGAGAAAGACGGAAATATAAAGAATAATTTAAATAGAGTAAATAAAATAAGTTGAAGACTTGAGTGTGTTCATCGAGTCTTTCCTTATTACAGAAAGTGCTTTCTTATTTTACAAAGTGCCATCAAGGTACTGTGTATTTTCCAGCAAAGTGCAAAATACAGTACTTTTTCAAAACCGTAAGTACCTCGGATATTTTGCTTTTGCTTGAGGTACTTAATGTTAAAAATACTGATAATTAGTATTGCATTTGTTTCAATCATTTTTGGGGGAAAATTTAAGGACCAATCAGAATGCAAAACTATATCTCTCAAGAGTTTCGTTAGAAGAAATGTAAAAAATTTTACCGAAAATAATTATTAGTTTTAAAAGTTTTTTAGTCAATTATTAATTTGTTTTCTATGTTATTTTCGGTAAGATACTACTTGATGAACATGATGGCGCCACTAGACACTTCTCATGATTATTAACGAAAGAAAGGAGGGAGAGACATCTACTTTTTTCTTTTTTCAACTAAATGATATTTTATTATGATCAAGCGATCAATGCATATGATAGATATATGCGAAATGACTCTCGTTCTCATCCCCATGAGCAGGATTACTTTTATAAAATTTCTTTTTTTTTGCACGGAAAAATCTTCTCTTCGATTCGATTCAAACACATTGAGTCGCATTAAAAAATTCTCGATTGTTGATCCTTCATTGTGTCAGGGTGTGGGTATGGGTATAGGTGGATGCGAGTGGGCGTGGGTGTGAATCGGATCTGAACTCAACCTCACATCCACACTCACACCCTCATGTGGAACTCAGCAGAATTGGTAGACATCGGCCTTATCAATTTCATCGTAAAACTTAGCTCCAAGTTACCAGTTCGGATGTCGGTGTGAGTATCGAATGTTCCACATGCACTCATACCCACATCTACCCAGATGGGGTGAAGTAGTTTTATTGAGTATACAATACGCTTCAAATATACTAGTATTGACGGAAGTTGGACATATTGATCATTTTTTGGTAGCTGCAGCTTTTTCGACTTTCAAAGTTTTTACCAATCTGGTGAGAATAGAAATGGTGGTGTATTGATACTAGTTCGTCAGGTATTGTCGACAATCAGACATCAATGTAATGTGCCAAATGTGTGTGTGGTTGATATTCTTCTGGAAGAATCTTTGCATGTTACTGGTGTATATACTCCTAAAAGTAAATCCTGCAACTGGCATGACATGAATCCTTCTGTAATTTACAACTGTGTATTGATAGGTGATTTTAATATAGATTTTCAAGATGACAAGACCAAATGGGGCGTTTTATTACCTTGGGCTGACTTACACTCTTTGTCTCCTATCATTCCAGATAGCCCGACCTCACTCTGATCACATAGAACAATCAATTATACGTTTACATCTGGTGTGCATCTCTCTTTGCAAACTTACCAGGGAGACACCACTAGTGATCATATACCTTTAATTGTAATATTAGCGGGCGAGGGAAAAGAACACACTCTAGGTAAAAGAATTAATTGAACTATTTTTTCCGCCTTCATATCCTATACATTTTCGTTCTGGGAAAAGGAGTCGTGACGGAGGTATTACAATAGAACTTACATAATTATATCGTATTTTTAGTACTTTTAGCGGCAATATATACCCAATATTTCTCTTCGAAATTGGCAAGAACAGTAGTACCGTATTGGTAGAGAAATTTGCTATTCAAGAGGCGTGCATTATCTCTTAAAGTGAGACACTGGTGATATCCTCCCGCGAAGAGAGGTGTATAGGATGCGTAAAAGAATGCATTTTCATCTTCAAACTCTATGAACAGAGCAACTAAGTAAAATGTTCGAAAAAAGATACAAAGATGGCACAGGATCATCTCCATTCTGGAATAAATCTAAACGACATTTTCGTGACTAATCCGCTACTCTACAAGCTTTCATTTCTACATCTAGTAAAATTATCAAAGATATAAAGGATATGGCGGAATGTGCTACTAATTACTATGAGCAATTATCCACTGAACCTGAAGCTTACCATCCACATCTCTATGTTGATTCACAGACTATCCGCTGGGACAACGATAACGATAGCATCCCGTTGATATCTTATCCTGAATTACTTAAAATATTAAAAGCAAAAAAGAAAAAGTCATCATGTGATGCTCATAGTCTATCGCCGGTGTTATTCGATCACATGCCCAAAAATTATTGGCATCTAATGATCCCCCTATTCAACATGTCCTTCCAGACGACCTTCATGCCTGACAACGGGCATGCGTGTGGGTGTGGATGTGGGCGTAGGTGTGGGTGTGGATGTGGGCGTAGGTGTGGGTGTGGATGTGGGTGGATGTAGGCGTGGGTATGGGTGGGTGTGAGTTGCGCCTTAGCTCAACCTCACATCCACACCCCACGCCTACACTCACACCCACACGCATACTCACGCCCATACTCCACACCCCCACACCCTAGTTTGCAAAATTGTAAAATAAAGAGAATATAAGTAGTTCGACAATGAATCGAATAGAGGAGACCATATTCGATTCGGAACATAACAAGATAAATGCGAAGCCATCCTGTTTAGTAGTTGTGCGAATTCTTGAGAACGCTTATTTTTTGGTGAGAGGAAAAGAAATGAGAAAAGCAAACATATATTTTATTGCAAAAACAGAGAAATGTTAAGAGTACCGATAACTCTATGTCTAATGTACATCGGAGATTGCTATTCTTTGGTAAGATAGAGTAAAATTCATGAAATTTTTCTTTCTTCTGTGTTCTAAGTTGATAAAAACTTGAGTTTGATACACGAGGATATTACACATATCTAAACTGTGCTTCTT